TTCCATATCTGTGAGGGAACTCAAAACAACAGTTCTTTGTCAAAACTACATGAAGAGAAAGACAGTTAAATGGCTGGCTGGCTTTTTACAACGTGCCATGTTTTGCCCTTGGCCTCATTGGTTAATGCGTGTTTGCATGTCTAAGTCAAAACTACACATTAGTCTATTACGAGGGGGAAAAAAAGGAGATAGCGTGGTCTTTATCTGTCATTCAACTCCTCACATCTCCTCAATGTCGTTCTTCTGCCTGACGGTGTGAGTCACAGTTATAAGTTTGAACATAGAGGAGACTGACTCATGCAGCCCAAAGTCACTTAACACTTAAGGCTAATTTAATTAATTTGCACGTCAATTCATTTTTCTCAAGTTGTTTTCTTGTTGTTGTCAGGAGTACTTTCAGACAGAACGTGACTATCACGCAATGAGAAAAAGTGCCGTAGTTTTTTGTAGCTTTTGCACCATAAATAAAGGCGTCAACCAATCACGTTGTGCGGAATGTAAATATTCCAAACCAGCACTATAGTGTCACGACACAGACACACAGAGACTCCGTCCGAAAAAGGTCAGCAAACTTTATTACTCCTTTCAACCTTGACAAAAGCAGCGCAAACCAAATCCAATCCTTCTGTTCTTACCTTTCACAATAAAAGCCCTAGACATATACACTCCATAACTGTTCACCCAAGGAAAATAAACTCGGAGCATTCCGCTAAAAGGGAACTCCATAAAACATCTCACAGTTGCTTCGTCTATACAACAGTTTACCTCAGACAGACTGTCAGACGCTGCTCTGGGTCAAGAGGATCCTGGTAGTCGGTTCTCTATCTGTGTGAATCTGTTCAAATCTTTTATCGAAAAATTGCTGCAACTGTTACAAATTCGCATCTCTGCAGGTATGAATAGTTTTCAAAAATTCGCATGAGAGTATTTTGCATTTCCGTGTCATTTATTCGTCGCCCCCCCGGTGTGTGTAGGCCTTCTCACAACATATCAGAAGTGTGTCCTACTACTGCACATCACTAACTTTTGACAACACAGTTTAGCTATAAATCATAAACAACTGTCAAACCCACATGTTTTTGCTCCCAGTTGGATGCGTCAGCAAAGCAAAACAGTTATTCATCCACTTATCTTGAGCACACATGCACATCGTAATTAGCTGTAATATAATGAGGATCAAACGTGTTTTCCCTCTCAGACACGTTCACTCTGATCCTCTTATCACTCTTTTTTATGTGTGGCTCCCTTCCCTCTCCTCCTTCTCCTTCTCCTTCACGGCATGTTAAAGAAGGTGGCGATGATTGAAATGTTTTTGGGGACTTTGATGTTCTCAGTTTTGGGCGTTGAGGAAAGGAGGGATTAGAGTGTAAAGCTGTGTCCACTTGTGCGTTCTTTACTGCTCAGCCACGAGAAACTTAGAGGATACACACAAGCTAACAGCGTGTCAGAGAAGCAGCATGATTGAGGTCTGTGAACCTTGTTGGTAATGTGGTGTCAGGTGGCTGAAAGTGGGAATAATTGATGGTTTTTGGGGAGCTAGAAACGAAGAGATAAGTGGGAAAAAAGAGAGAAGAGGATGGAGTGAACAAAGGATGAGCAGTAGCAGAGGTGATAGAGAGGGGCTTGTTGCATCCTGCTGTCGTACCCACCCTCTAATTGCTCAGTATTTATGGTGGGAGGAGTGGTATGTGTGGGCAACATGCTTCTCCACATATACACACCCAAAACCACAATACACACTAAGAGATTCAGTCGCCCTGGAGGGAGTCATTTGCGTTCGCGGGAGGCTTTTACGGGCCGTTGCGTAGCCGGCTCTCTATTCCTGGAAGAGCGTCGGTATCTTTTGATCAAATTGGACTCCACTCTCCAGTAACCGGCTTCCTATGAATTGTGGGCTAATTGTGCCGTATATGTGTGTGTGTGTGTGTGTGTGTGTGTGTGTGTGTGTGTGTGTGT